ATTTCTTACCTACTGCTGCATCCTTCTACATTCCTTCGCGCGCGACGCCCCTCTCACCGCGACGCGACCATCTCGTTCCTAACGCACCACACCCCGTTATTTCTCTTCGAATTAAGCGGCGGTTGTCGTAGAAAATTGATGAGAAAAAGGTAGGTCATTATCGCGTGGAACAGAGAATGAAGCCATGAGGAAATCAGGCGACGCGGAGTTCAGAAGTTCTTCGACTACATGGATCGAGTACCAAGGAGCTTTCAATCAGTACGGGTGGAGTTGGGTTGTCGATATAAAGCCTTCACGTACCACATGAATGGATTTGAATTCCACATTTTATCTCAACACAGGGCCTTGGTATGAGAAGACTACGAGGGTTGCCTTTATATTTCGGGATTGGGTAACCCTAGTGTGGTAATCTGGCAACTGACAGCCCTATCGTGAAGTTTCACCTTTTTGAGGATGTACGTACTCAGAAAAACCTAACTCAAAAGATTTATTTAGGCCAAAAAATGGAATTAAATCGTGAACATTTTCGTGCGATTATTTTTTACAACTTTCGTCGTGGATCAACTCAACAACAGTGCATGGATGAGCTTAGTTCAATTTTTGGCGGAGGACCAGTGTTTATCGATGGTATGATGAGTTCATCCACGGTCGTAGTTCACTCCAAGACGAATTTCGTGGAGGTCGTCCAAATCAGTTGTTGCTCCAGGAACCCGTCATGCGATCGTCATGTGACCTATCGTGAGACTGAAACAACCTTAGGCATTGGTGGGGCCAGCATGCATTCAATATTGCATGAACATTTGACTGTCAAAAAAATTTGTTCGAAAAAACTTCACTACGATAATCGAGCTCTCACACATCGGTTCATACAACAGCACTTTCGAGCACTCAAAACATCGATTTTATGAGTAATCCGCCATACAGTCCTGGCTTGGCACAGAGTGACTTCTTTTTATTCCCGTACGTAAAAAATAAAATGAGAGGTCATCGTTTTTCGACATCTTAAGGAGCGATTGATGCGTTCAGAATCCCGGTTTTGGAGATACTTCAATCCGAGTGGCACAAGTGCTTTGACAATTGGCTCAAACGCATGCAAAAGTGTATAGATCTTAATAGGGAATATTTTAAGAGACAGCAAAACAATTTTCAGTTATTAATATTTTTTCCTTTGAACATGAAATATAAAAGGCAACCTACGTAATAGTTAGAAGAGAAAGAAACGAATGCATGACGATTTTCTGTAAAAATACCGCTCCTGATAAGCGATTGATCAGCCGCTTCTTCAAACAGGCCACACGCGAACGAAATAAAGGTGAAGATTGTAATATTGAGAAGAATCTCCCCATGATATTATCTAAAGTAACATTAAACAGATCCTGAGGACAGATTTGAGCCCGCATTCGCATGTCGCGTACAGCACGTCCCATCATCTTGCGAATGACCAGATTGACTTTCTAGTGAATTGAGTGGACAGGCTATGTGAATAGGAAGCATCCCCAATTTAACATCTATTGCGCGTGGAATGGGGTCGCATCACCATTGCTTTCGTCATACCAAATCGATTTTGTGTCCAGTCCTCTGCCGTAGGATTCTGACGTTATTGCCTGACATCGTACGTACAGTTTCTCTTTTGGATAAAGTTAATTATACTTTTCACAGGTCGGTAAATCTTGGTCGGATGTATCCCATGAACGGCTCGTCATGTCATAAGCCCGGAAGCTTTCTGTGCTATGTAGAGGAAGCACGCATACCTTCATGCTGTTATGTGTCAAGCTGATGTCACGTGGAGAACGCATTGACAGAACTTTTGATCTTCTTGATTGCATGCTGGCGATTCAGTGCTACATCCTTGGAGACTTCTATCTCTATCGCTATTTCTGTAGATGAGAGTCTAGGATTAGCTTAATAGGTTTTTTTTGAGAAAATAGTCTACTGCGCAGTCATGCCTCGAAGATTGTGCGTCATCGAATTTGAATCCCGGTATTGCTGTGCAACTCTCGCATTATGTTTTTGTCGAAATACTCTCCTCAAAAGCAACTAAATATCCGGAGCCGAATCCGGAACCCGTCTGGAAAGTTTGAAGACGTTTAAGTGATATAGTCGAAAATTGTAGTCGAGCATGTTCTGAAGATTAGCTGAAGCCACTCAAAGTCGTTGTCACCTCTCAAACTTTCGCCCCCGAATTATAGCGCAGTATCTCCTATTTCTGACACTCAAAAAAAGAACAGCACCGGAAAGCAATCAAAGGGTCGAACGGCAAGTACTTCTTGACTGACCCTGATACGACTGATCCATGACCCATCAATCAGAATTCGGTTTTATACTTATTAGGACAAAGAGCTCGAGTGAGGACTGACTAGCAACCAATTCAATTACTTCTAAATGTGAATGGAATCGACATCTTGAATCACAAACACTTACTGTTTAGAGCTGGGAAATCATGGCTCTGTTTCAATAAGCATTTTTTCCGGTGTTCCCGCATAACCACGCTAAGTTGCCAAATTATGAAACATAACGCGACAGCGCTCCCTATGCAGCGAGCGGTTTCAGTTCACGTTTGGCTTAGGGTTTCTTTAAATACATTTTTATTTAATGTTTTAGAAGTGTTTTGAACTACACGGAGTGAGAATAAGATGTAGTCGATTTTTTCTCCCCAGGTATTTTCCCCATTTGTGAAGGGAATCAGACAAGACTGCGTTCCCTTGCATTGTGATATTATCTTCAAGTCGAAAATATCAACCCTGCGAAATTAGTCTGTTTTTTGAATATCGTTAAACTCGGCATCGCAAAAATGGAGGGTTGAGTGTGTTAACATCTGACCTGGCGCTCATCCTATGAACTTACAGATGTGGTCAGAGTGATGGGTGGTACGTGACTACGACCGCTTCCCCACTACAAATGCATCCTTCTTCTGCGACAAAATCAGTGCTCCACTAGGCAATGATGTCATGTTTTTTTCGTGTTAACCGCCTAGACTAGTTTAGATGAGAGTACAATTGATTTCGAAGACCACATCACAATGCTTCGTGATCCGCTACGTCTGTCATTGTACACATTCATTCATGCTATGATCAATCACGCCCTCACGTTGGATTTTTTTCAGCAAATGAAGAGCAAAAATGGTGAGCTTTTTTTGGGTAATTTACGTGTTTCGCAAAATTTAGCTGTTCGGAGTGATTTACATTCATGCTCCAAACGTTGGATTTAGTTTACCACATATTCACAAGTTTCTCCTTCGTATTTGTACCTCGAGAGTGTCTTATACCTGCAGTTGTATTGGGCTCCTTGTGTAGGCGTCATTCGCGCGCCGATGATGGATTTCATACATCTTACTTTCATAGGGTTTCTCTGCATCTTGTAGAAGCACTGGACACCGAAATCAAGTCTTTTTCCCCTCAAACAGCCGAAAAAGGGTACTTTTTGAGAATAGGATCCTAGCTGCTATGGTAAATTTTGACGTTTTATATACTACTAGTTAGGCTACGCATAGTAACGTGTGCATCTCACGCCTACAGCCGCTTATCTACGACCTCACTAAAAAAGCATATCAAAGCATTTTTCATAATCCCTGTGCACAGTACTGCTTCACCCAGAATTTCGCTTAGGTTTTATTCCTGCAAGTCAGGAATCTAGAGTGCAACATTTAAGAGTTGACGGTTTTTTTTGAGAAGTAGGGTTCTGGCCACCGCTAACATTCACATTCAAGATTTCGCTTGAGTTTACTTATAGAAAATGGCGAACCTGAGAAGTTATGGGAGACACTCAGTTGAGAGTTTGTTACCTGATGCAAACTGATGCCTGTCAGAGGTTCTATCACTCTAGCTCTTTTTGCTGAAGGTGTGATCGCTCTGCGAGTGAAAAGAAAAAGGTATGATTCGTCCCGTAACAAAGTGTAGGAAAGTTATGTTTCCCAGTCAATGACGTCACAATGTGATCCGTATCGATTTGGAGATCAATATAAACAGTAGACTTCTTGTTCCATAACACCTCCTCACCGCACCCACTGACCTTTTACAATCCTAGTCACGCCTACGTGACCTTTTGTGAACTGACACTCAAAATGACATACAAACAGACGCACAAGATTAGCGCTTTATATATTTACCAGTTGGCCTACGCTGTTTGTATTGTTCCTCTAACAATATCGGTAGACTTCCTATTTCATAACTGCTTCCTCATCGCGACAACGTGACATTTCACTCTCTTCATCGTGCCTGCGTGATCTTTCGCGGACGGACGCGCAAACCAACATACAAACGGACACGCAGTGTTACTGCATTATATATATATATATATATATATATATGTATACCTATATATATATGTGTACATAGGATAGCTGAAAAGTATAGGACGCTCGGTTTGGCGTTTGTCGGCACTTCGCCAGGATTGACCGCCCGTCCGAACCATCGCTATGGAAGTTTCTGCACACAGACCCATCATCAAGAAGTTGCTCAGAGAACGTTTCAAGAACTGTGACATCGCGAAACGACTCGGCGTTCCTTCTTTAACCGTTCGAAATGTCTCTGCAATTCTCAGCCCTCGAGGAAAAGCCTTAGGGATGCTAAAAAAGGGCGTCAGCATAGATCGGATTGCTTATGATCTCAACATCAACCGTCAATCCGTCCAAGAAATTGTGAAATGCAACCTCAAGCTTAGGTTATCGGCTCTGTCGAGGAGAATTCAGTCCGGACAGACAGTGCAATCGAAGTCAGCTGATAAAAACAAAAAATTTTCGAGAGCTCAGGGCGCGCCGCATCTCTGACGTGATCTGGAGTAATGAGTAATTTTCAGAGCACAACCTTTTCAAACCGTCGAAACCAGAGGCAGTTGTTGTCAAAAGCTGGCGAAGTTAAACCAAAACGTTGTTGCGGGCATAGCTGACCATCTCCCAAAAGTGTGATTATTTGAGCTGGGGTGACATCGGAATGCAAAACGATGTCAGTCTTCATCGACAGAAATCAGGAAATCGGCTGTGAGGTTGTCCATAAGGTACTTTAATGGGCACCCTGCTGATCTGGGTCAGTGAGCACTCGGTGACCGATCTTCGTCCATCAACAAGATTGGGCTCCTTCGCATGCCTCGAAATCGGCTGAAGCCGTACCTGCTGCGCACTTCTCCGGGTTAAGGACATCTGACCTCCCTCTTCGCCAGGCCTTAGTCCAATTGACTTCACTCTGGGGGCTTTTGAAGGGCAAGATCACAGGACGCTCCTATTGCTTGTTGGACGCTCAGGCGATTCAGAAGGCGTAAGACGATATCGACGTAGACTACCTGCGGCGCACTATTGGTTCAGTTATCGAACGTCTAGACGCCTGTGTAAGAGCAAAAAAACCCAACTTCGAAAGTCTCCTATCCTAAGTGATCATGCAGCTCGGTCTAATCCTCATTGTGTTAGATTTGTCTACCAGTCCTATATCTTCGAAGCTACGCTTACAAATGTGGCGCCCTATACCTTTCACCACCCTGTATATATACAGTATGCGCCAAAATTACTCAAATATCCACCGCTGTAAAATCGGTTAAACGATAGATTGTGGACTAATTTTTCTACAACACTTCATTTATATTAAGTCATTACACACAGTAAATTCAAATTTCGAAAATCCCTCTATGATCTCGGACGCAGGCCCTCACAAGGAAGGTCTTTCAGGGCGTGGGACGCTTTTTGAAAATGGTTTTTGCATGATATAGGGGCATGAGCACTGAGTATAAAACAATGGTCCATTTCCGCTAAATGGCCTTCTGAATGCCAAAAAACGACTGAAAACTATTTTGTCAGAAATCGCCGTTTTAACCCACTCAGCGTCGTTTGTTTCATTCATGGCGTCGACTGTCCGTACAGTAGAAGGCGCCA